GGTGAGCTCGGCCTGACCTGGTGCAGTGCTGACCGCACGGGGCTGCTGTGACTGCGGTGATGTTGGATGTTCCAGAGCTCAGCGCTGGGAGAACTGCGCTGGTCTGAACCCCGCTTGTCTGCCCAGTGGCGTCACAGCCTTGGGGTGCGGCTTCACCTGGCACAGCCTCCCTCTTCATCTGCCAGATGGAGCCTCCGTACTCGCCACAGGGCCAGTTGTGCAGGTTAACTGCTTTAGACTTGAAAAGAGCCTAGTGTGAGAGAGGCGGCACATAGTAGGCGCTGCCGCACGTCTCCAGCTTCTTCCCACGGCTGACAGGCTGACCCGGCTCATCGCAGCACGTGACTAACCCCTTACCTCCCAGGTCGACTCAATAAGCCATTCCCTGACCGTAAAGGGCCAGGGCCTGTGCGGGGCTCTGGAGGGAGGAGAATGCATCAGGCCCAAGCCCAGCCCCTGGAAGGGCGTAGCAGCGGTTCTCAACCTGTGGGTCGCGACCCCTTTGGCCGTCGAACGACCCTTTCACAGGGGTCGCCTAAGACCCTCCTGCATATCAGATATTTACGATTCATAACAGTAGCAACATTACAGTTATGAAGTAGCAACAAAAATAATGTTATGGTTGGATCACAACATGAGGAACTGTATTTAAAGGGCCAGAAGGTTGCGAACCACTGGAATGGATAATTTCAATTGGGAAGATGAAGTTCTGGAGATGGATGGTGGTAAGGGTTTGCGCCACAATGTGAATGTGCTCACGGTCCTGTCTGCTGGCAGCCGCTGCGACGGTGGGCTCTGCTTGGTCCCCTGTCATTCCTCTATCCAGGCCATTATCTGTGATGACAGGCTGGCACTGTATTTTTACAACTTGTAAGATACTCCATAAAGCTAAATGGTCGTTATTACCATTACTAAATACCTATTAAGCACTCCTAACCACACAGAGCCAGTAAGATGTAGGTTCAGCTCTTGGAAGTCTTCCTTCTAATTCCATCCAAACCCCTTTCAGTTCGCTGCCCTCCTTCCTGGAGGAGCCGGGACCCCTGCGTCGTGCCTGAGCGTTAAATGCACGCGCTCGTCGCAGCTTCTCGGTGATGCTGGCACAGATGCCTTTGCCTTACTTTACAGACATGGAGGCTGAGAACCAGACTGGGCAGCCCGGGGAGACTCAGCTTTTTAAAAAAATATATATTTTACTGATTTTTTACAGAGAGGGAGAGGGAGAGAGAGTTAGAAACATTGATCAGCTGCCTCCTGCTCACCCCCCACTGGGGACGTGCCTGCAACCAAAGTACATGCCCCGATTGGACTAGAACCCAGGACCCTTCAGTCCGCAGGCCAACCCTCTATCCACTGAGCCAAACCAGCTAGGGCGAGACTCAGCTTTAAGTCTTTCTGAAGGCAAAGGGACCCTCCTCTCATGCAGTCTGGTGGCCTGGCTTCTTGTGACGGGCTACTTTTTTGTTTTACACTTTAAGTGCCTAATACCATGCTATGTGCTAGCCCAGTGGGAGGAACTTATGAGCAAACAGATCGTTCTAAAACAATGTCCTAGGCCAGGCGTCAGAAACTCAAATGCTCACAGCGGCCAAGTAGTGGGAACGGAGGAAGCAGACAGGTGCACGGAGGGGCCAGCGATCAGGAGGCCAAGTGGCGTCGGCGACGTCTCACTGCCCCACGCCTCAAGTTAGATTAACGTGGGGAAACCTGGCAGTTACTGGTTATCCCTAGCCCACAACCAGTCCTCCTTGAACCCACCTCCCGTCGGCTCAGGTCACACCCACACCTGGGGTCCCGGGTCAGGCCCCTGGTCTCCACCAGGGTCCAGTGGCACATCTGACGCTGCTGCTCAGTGGACAACAGTCACCTGCAGAGGATACATCTTTGCCCCCAGCCCCTGGGAGTCTGTGCGGTGACTCCTTACTGTGCTGCGGGCTTACCTGGTGACTGGGCCACAGAGCAGCGCACGGCCGCTAGGGGTCAGAGCACCCAGCGCAGGACATCCAAGTCTCTCTCCGCCAGCTCAGCTAAGCAAACCCGGTTCCCAGCTGCTGGGCTGACAAGCTGAACCCGGACTCTGCCAAGTCAGCTACACTGACACCATCAGAATCCACTCCCCAAGTCTCTGCTGATAAAAACGCATGAATATCCAGTTCTTTTTTTTTTTAATATATCTTTATTGATTTCAGAGAGAAGGGAGAGGGAGAGAGAAACATCAATGATGAGAATCATTGATTGGCTGCCTCTTGCATGTCCCCTAATGGGGATCAAGACCGCAACCCAGGCATGTGCCCTTGACCGGAATCGAACCTAGGACCTTTCAGTCCGCAGACTGACGCTCTATCCCCTGAGCCAAACCAGCTAGGGCTTTTTTTTTTATTTTTAATATCCAGTTCTTTCAGTGTGCAGACTGCTGAACACTGGGCGAGGCCGTGGTTTCCCTGGGGCATGCTGGGATCTGACTGCTATTAGGGTTAGAGCCAATGGGGCAGAGTCTTGAGGGGTCTCAGCAAACCCTTGCCAGGTAAGCACCTCAATGGAGCTCACCAGAGGACTCCAAACAGGTGAAGAGTCCCCTCCTCAGGGTGGCAGGGGGCTGTTCCACCGACAGGGAGCGCTGATGGGTGGGGGTGGGGTCAGTCCTCCCAACTCTCCCCATTCTAATTCCCAATCAATAGCCACCTTCACAGAAAAGCGGATGAAGGTGGACTTCAATCTATCCTGCAATTATGCGTCAGGTAGGATCAAAGGTAGGTCTGACTTTAGCCGTGTCAGCCCCAAGGCTACAAAAGATAAGGAATCACAGGGCCAGCACACGATCTGACTTGAAGTTTAAAGCCCTGAGCTTCCCGTTTTTCTCTCTGAAATCCTACCGATGCCCTCGGAAGGCAGCCTGTCCCAGAGGCTCCATTCCCGCCACGATGGTGACTCGCAGCAGCCTGCCCTTCCCTGAGCACTTGATCCGGGAAGGCAGGTGAGTCGCAGGTTAGCTGTTCTGCCAGGGGACGCTGCCAGTGTCTGTGTGGCAGCACAATCCACTCAGGGAGGCAGACCCCACTTTTCTGGGCCTGTTTCTGAAGCCCACGATGGATGTGCCGCGGGGCCTCGGGACGAGCAGTCATTTTCAGAACCCACTAAACCTGTGCGAACCAGCCCTGCAAGTACAGGCCGCCGTGCTGTCGTTACCTACGTGATGGACAGCACGGAAATCAGAACTGAATGCTCCACTCTTTTCACATGAGCTTTGAAGTCAGAGTGGATTTGGGGCCTGGCAGCGGGAACAGTGACCTCAGGCTCTGGCCCGGCCGGGTGGAGGATCACTGAAGGGAGGGACTTCCTCCTAGGTGCCAGGCATGCACACTTCCGCACAACCCGAGATGGGGGTGGCGACCCCATCTCTGCAGAGCAGCAGCAGCGGGCAGAGCGGGCACTTTGTCACACTCCTGCCAGGGGCGGCCATCTTCCTGGACCTCCCTGCAGTATTCTAACTGCTGATCAGCCTCTCCTTTAGAAAAAACGTCAGAGGGCTTTGGACACCCGATCTCCTCCGACTCAGTGGCCACTTCTCCCCAGTGTCCTTTGCCGGGTTTTCCTTCGCTTCTTCATCTTGAGATGCTGGAGGATTCCCGGACGTGGTCCTTAGATCTTTCACTTCCTCCTAAAGGTGGTCATGCAGGCCCATGGTTTTAACCACCACCCAAAGATGGCTGCTAAACGCCAGACTGGACTACCCACTGTCCGCTCCACACGCCACTCGTGTTTGAGAGGCAACTAGAGCTTAACCTGCTCGGAACCGAACCTCTGCCTGCCGGACCTCCGGCCCCGCTGCCACCTCAGTCAATGGCACCCCCACTCACTCACTCACTCACTCGGTCCGCATGCTCTCCCAAGGCCTCCCAACTCATCGGGGGAGTCCCACCGTCCACAAGGCCCTGCCTGCCCTGGCCCCTGGGGAAGCCCTGCCACCCTTCCTAGCGGCGCCGTAGCAACACCAGCCTCCTCTTCCTCGCCTGCAACCGCCTGCTTGGTTTCCTTGCTTCCACCGTAGACCTGCCCACCTTTACCTCTCCCTCCTGGTCCATTCACAATCAAGAGCCAGAGAGATTGTTTTAAAAACTCAGACAGCCCTTCTCCGTTTGGCTCAGTGGATAGAGCGTGGCCTGCGGACTGAAGGGTCCCGGGTTCAATTCCGGTCAAGGGCACATGCCCATAGGGGACGTGCAGGAGGCAGCCGACCGATGTTTCTCTCTATCCCTCTCCCTTCCTCTCTGTAAAAAAATCAATAAAGTGTATTAAAAAAACAACAAACAACTCAAGACAAACCCCATCATGCCTCTCCTATCTTTCACCCTCTTCCCATTCTCCTTAGGATAAAGGCCACCAGCACACCGCTCAGGCCTCCCGGCCGGCACACCGGCTCCACGGCAGGTCCCGTGGCGCTTTCCCGAACAGCTCCGGCCGCAGGGCCTCTCTCGGCAGCGGCCTCTCCTGCAGGGAAGCGCGTTCTCCGACATCAGGCGGCTTCCTCTCCCCGCTGCCCAGCCTTCCTCCCACCGCCCGGCTAAGACGGTGGCCGCTTCTCCGTATCCCCTCGCACCGCTCTGCCTCCCTTCACGGTATGGACCAGCATCCCGCTGGTGCCTGCTCCCGTCCTGCCTTCCCTCTGCCATGCCGGCGTCAGGAACGCGCTCCCTTTTTACACGCTGCATCCCCAGTCCTAGCAGAAAAGACACCGCCCACTTACTGAGCGACAAGGACCGCGGGGAACCTCCTCCCGCCTCTGGGAATCGCTGCACCGCCACCCGCTCCAGCAGCACCCGCCCTCCCTCGGGCTCCTTCGGCCACCCCTCCAGGTGCCAGCGCGCCCTACCCCGCCGTTTGGGCTTTCTCAGGCTTCCCGGGCTCCTTCCGCGCAGCCGCGGGATGCGCGGGGCATCATGGAGCTTGTAGTCCGTCCCCGGAAGGACGGCCGCCGGCCCCCGCCGTGGCGCCTCCCCCGCACTACAACTCCCAGGGGGCAGCGGGACGTCGCTCTCGCAGCGCCCGTGTCGGCCGGCCACCGTGCGGCGGGTCCCGGCGGCCGCCGCGGGGGAGGGGCAGGAAGATGGCGGACATGGTCGTGGGCAGAGACAAATGCGGGGAGCAGCGCCTCGTGTCGCTGCCCCTGTCCCGCATCCGGGTCATCATGAAGAGCTCGCCCGGGGTGTCCAGCATCAACCAGGAGGCGCTCGTGCTCACGGCGAAGGCTACGGTGAGCGGGCGCCGTGCGGGGAGGAGTGAAGAGCGGGGGTGGGGGCCGCCGGGAGCGGCCGCGCTGCGCAGTTCCCGTGGGCCCGCCGGACGCCAGCTACCCTTCCGTGGGCTCGCGCGCGCGCGTACTTCCCTCCACGCCGCGCGCGCACCCGCGCGCTCTTATCCACTTGGCCCCGCCCCCAGTGCTGCTCCCGTGCTCCCTCGCGCGCCCTCCTTCATTTGGCCCCGCCCTCAGCGCCGCTCCCGTGCTCCCTCGCGCGCCCTCGCCCCGCCTACCCCGCGCGGCTCCCGCCTTCCCCCGCGCGCCCTCCCGTCCTCCCTCGCGCGGGGGTCACCTGGGCGGCGCCGCGCTGTACCCCAAAGCCTGCCCCTTTTTCTCGCTTTCGGCCTATTGATGGTTTCGGGGCCCCAACTTCCCAGACGGCCCAGCGAGGGCCCGGGCGCTGTCACGCGAAGCTCGAGGGCTTCCAAACGAGGTCCGGCCCGGGTGCCGTGGGGCCTCCCCCTCCCCCCACCTCCCGGCGGGACGCCCCCGGTGGAGGGAGTCGCAGGGACGCGAGCTGCACTGCCCGCCGCGTCTCGGGTTTGGTCGCGGCGGCGGAGGTGGAGGCGGAGGCGGAGGCGGGGCGGGAGCCCTCCACTTCCCCGGCGGCTGGGACTTGCCCGGAGGTGGAGTCTCCGGGCTCCTCTGCCAGCCCCGCAGGGTGTCGGGCTAGAGCTCGGGGCGGGAAAGCCCAGATTTCTTGCGGGTGTTGTGCCAAGCCTCGCTTTCTTGGAGCCAGGGCAGTGCCCGCTCAGCGTGGATGTTGGGGTGCTTGTTCCCGGGACAGCTCGGTCCTCTGAGTGTTCAGGAAGCAAATTTAGCCCCGCTGGTGTGGCTCAATGGATAGAGCGCCGGCCTGCGGACCTGGGCTGGATTCCGGTCAAGGGCGCATGCCAGGGTTGCGGGCTCATCCCCAGTGGGGGGCGTGCAGGAGGCAGCCGATCAGTGATTCTCATCATTGATGTTCCCTCTCCCTTCCTCTCTGAAATCAATAGAAAGTGTGTGTGTGTATGTATATATATGATATGACTTATGCAGCAGGCACTCGATCCCGCACGCACGTGCTGGGTGGATGGAGGCAGTGCAGGCCCTTGCCTTAGGGAAGGTGTGTGGGCGCAATAGGAAATGTGGTCTGTTCGGAGCTTCCCTTGTTGACTGTTTTATTTATAGGCGAACCACCTAAGACAAAGTACTCCTGAGCCAAACAATTTTTGAATGGTCTCTTGCTCCTTTTTTTTTTTTACTGTAGAGCTCGGTCATTAAACATTTACGACTCATTGTTTCATTTTAAATATTTGTACCGAGTTAAAAATCTAAAGTAAACTTCAGGGAAATGCCTGCTTCCCCACCAACCCTGATACTCGGCTTCTTTCTGACCTCATAGCTCTCCTTCCCTCCGGTGATTTCCTGTCATCTGAGAAGCCAAGATAATCTGCAGTCATCCACACTTAGCGTAGCTCAAATTTTAAGTTCTATGGTGTTTTCAAAGCACACCTTTCATGTCGCCTTTTCATTTGTTTTAGGAACTCTTTGTTCAATATCTAGCCACCTATTCCTACAGACATGGCAGTGGGAAAGAAAAGAAAGCACTGACTTACCATGACTTATCCAATACTGCAGAGGAATCGGAAACGTTCCAGTTTCTTGCAGGTAACTTAGAGCTTTTCCCCCTGCTTTCACTGCAGTAAACATTGTGCTGCTTTCTCTAGGCGCCAGCGTTAGCCAGGGCCTGGCACAGTGTTGCCTGTGTCTGTAATGTGGCTCACCTAGAATGGTAATGAGGCCAACAACCTCCAAAAGGGAGTTTGGCTGGCTGGTGAGCGTGGCAGACCCGAGCTCGGACCTCTCCTTGCCACCGAAGGGAAAACCCTGGGCTGGGCTGCTTGGCCCCAGAAACGAAACTAACTTGTAGAACAGGCGGTGGGGGCCCGGCTAAAGGGCTAAGCCTCCCCCTGGGCCCGCCCGCCTGTCGCAAGGTAAGTTGGGCGGGTTGCTCACAGGCTGGCCCACACGCAGAAGCACATGGTTTGCATTCAGTGACGTGGAAACAGACCTTCAGCATTCGCCAGGAGACCACCCTGAAGGGCAGTCTGATTTCCTCTCGTTTTGGAACCTACTGTAGAGGTCAGAGCAGGAAGTAGTACGTTTTGACATGCGCGCGGCTGTGTGCAGTCTGCCGCCAGCAGCTGCTAACGTTAGCTTTATGTTTTTAAGATATATTACCAAAGAAGATACTAGCTAGTAAATACCTGAAAATGCTGAAGGAGAAGAAGGAAGAGGAGGAGGAGGAGGAGGAGCGTAACAACGATGAGGAAAGTGATGAAGCAGAATCCTAAACCCCAAACGAAATGCTTTACAGTCCGCCTGGTGAGGGCCCCCCAGGACCACCCAGCACTGCGCCTTCAGTCTCCTCACCTTCCAGAGGCTTCCAAGACACTGCTCCTTGGCTGAGACGCAGGGCCTGAGGCACCTGCACACATGGCCGAGGAGAGCTGTCGGGCCGCCCCTGCGGTTGGCGGGCACCAAGCATGAGCTGCCTGGACAGCCAAAGACAAGGCTCTCTGCGCGCGCTTCGGGTAGCGTTCCAGAGCTTCTCCTAGCGGCTCCATAAAACAACCACGTCTCGTTTTAGCTCCATGTAGTTCAAGTTACATTTTGTTACATTGTGTGTAGTTACATTTGCATTTTTGTATTTCAAGAAAATTTGAATATTTGTTTAAATACAGCATTTTTAACTGTAAAGACAAAAATGTTAAATTAAAAGTTATATGTAGTTTTACAGTAAAATGCTCTAGGTCTAATTTTAGAAGCCTCTATTGTCCTAATGCCTCGCTTATTATCTGAGCCTTTTGTGAAATTTTAAAATATGCATTTCTAGCATTTTTATTCCCAGAGAAAAATTTTGTCAAATCATAAATCCAAAAATACTACCTCTGCGTAAGCATATTTTTCTTAAACACTTTAGAACCTTTTGTATCTTGAAGATATATCTCATTTACTGTTCCTTCTTTATACCTACAGTAACTACCGTCCACAAGAGAAAACCATAAACTCTGTATTTTCTGGCTCTTTTAATCTTTTTTTTTTTTTAATTAATTATTTATTTATTTTTTAAAAAAATGTATTTTATTGATTTTTTACACAGAGGAAGGGAGAGGGATAGACAGTTAGAAACATCGATGAGAGAGAAACATGGATCAGCTGCCTCCTGCATACTCCCCACCGGGGATGTGCCCGCAACCAAGGTACATGCCCTTGGCCAGAATCGAACCCGGGACCCTTGAGTCCGCAGGCTGACGCTCTATCCACTGAGCCAAACCGGTTAGGGCTAATCTTTTTTTTTTAAATGAGGTATTTACATCTAGTAACAGCATCCTTGTTCAGTCTGTTGGTTGTGTAAGCAAGCAGTCTGTCCCATCACCCCACCCCAAACATCCCACGTACCCCTTGAAGGGACTCCCCCTACTCCCAGGCAACCACTGATGTTTTCTGCCTCTCTTGTTTTTAAAGTTTATTTTTTAAAATAAAAATCCATTTTTTGGTGTACAGTTCCGAGTTGGACAAATGCAGAGTCATGTAACCACCACAAATATGATAACAGTTTTATCACCTCCCGCCAACTTTCTGCGAGGTCCAACGCATTCCTTCCCTTTACCTTGGCGGCCGCTGAGGAGGCTCTGCCTGGTAGTGGCGCCAGCACTTTCTGCAACGGAAAATATATGGAAAATATGTTCCATTTTGTGGGCTGTCGGTTACTCAATCCTGCCACTGTACAAAAGCAGACGGAGCAAGGACCTAAGGCATGAGCGTGGCTGTATTTCAACAAAATAGTTCTGGATGCTGACATTTGAATTTTGAATAGTTTTCATGGGTCTAAATTCAAAAAAAAATTTTCAACCATTTCAGAATGTAAAAAGCATTCTCATCTTACAGGTCCAACAAAAAAACACGGTAGCGCCCTAGCTGGTTCGGCCTGCGCACTGAAGGGTCCCAGGTTCGATTTTGGTCAGGGCACAGGCCCGGGTTGTGGGCTTGATCCCCAGTGTGGGGCGAGCAGGAGGCAGCCGATCAATGATTCTCTCCCATCATTGATGTTTCTCCCTTCCTCTCTGAAATCAGTAAAAAGATAGACTTAAAAAAATAAGACAAACGAACAAGCCCACAGTAGCCCCCGGACTATGGTTTTCTGGCCCATCTTTCCCGAGGGCCACGTAAGGAACCACAGTGCGCGAGGCGGAGGCGGGCTTTTAGTTGAGCACAGGGCTAGGCTGCTGCTGCAGTGTCGGCAGCCCCGCCCTGGGCCCTGCTGCGGGCTCCGGGGCATGGAGACACCGCGGTTACCCAGTCCCGAGTGAATGGGCAAGTCCCAATTTGGGTTGTTTCCAGTTTTGACGATTACACAGGCCTGTGAACACTTACGGAGAACGAAACCTCCGCCTGCTTTAGTGACACTACATCCTAGTATCTTCAGCCACTTTTTGCTTTTCTCAATCCAACTGCCCTGGGCCTTCCCCTTTTTAGTAAAGACAGAAGTCAAAACCAGCCCAGGAGGCCCAGGTGTTCAGAGCTGCATCAGTGCAGGCAGCCCCAGCCAGGGCAGAGGGGCCACGTGACCACCGGCCACGAACCCCGTGTATGGACAAGTTTGATTCCCACAGGACGTGGACTCGGGGCTTTCATTTGGGGCTCAGTTGAATGGTCTTTTACATAAATGTCCTTTCTTACGGCAGCTGAAGCAGAAGCACCAGACTCATTCTAGAGACACCTGTCCAGCCATCCAGTCCATTCCTGTGGTTCTCACCCCAGACTCCAAGTTCTCAGGGGCAGTGCCAGGCACTGTTCAAGGAATGGGTGAGTCCGATGCTTGTAGAAGCCCTAGACCAGGGGTCGCCAACCAGTGGTCCGTGAGGTCTCAAAGGTTGGCGACCGCTGCCCTAGGCGGTACCAGTAAACACACCAGTGCCCTAGGCAGTATCAGTAAACGCACAAGCAATTGAAGACCTTTGGGAGAAGCAGCTGTAAATACAAGGAATTTTATTTGATTTTTTGCTGACATACTATGAGGCAAAACAAAATTGACACAATACAAAATAACTTTATAAAATATCATTCACATTTACAGCATTCTGTGCATGTTAAGGGTTATGTAAGGAGGTGAAAAAACACTATGCCAAATTTTTAGTATTAGTTTATATACACACAGTAAGAAACAAAACAAATAACTGTTAGGGTTTCCATGAATTTATTGCAAAAATAGTGCAAACTACTTTAACCTAGGAAGCTGTAAAACAAACTTGAAAGGACCCAGCTAAGCTTAGACACGGCCATAGGTGCTCAGCCTCTCAGCCTGGAGCTTTCTTCACCAGTTTAGCCTTTGTCCATCAAGACCACACCCCACCCGTTGGGTTTAGGGTGAGAGCAGGGGAGCGGAGATGCAGAGCCTGGCTTTCCAGAGGGGCCGCTGCCCGGGGCCAGCAGCACCTCTAGGGTCACGCTACTCACTCAGTGGCGACCGTGTGAGGTCTGTGTTGAAAACGTGTGAGATGCCACGATGGTTAAGTCTGACCTTAGCAACAAGTGACCCAACCTCTGCACGGCACGGAGACCGAATCCAGGACGCAGCGTGAACGGGAAGGACTGGGAACGCCACTGCCCGCCGACACCCTCTTGGGTGTGTCGGGTAAAGTATGATTCTGCTTGTGGGCAACCTTTGAACCGATGGTGAAGTTAAAAAAGGGAAAAAAAAGCCACGGTATCCCTACAAGGGTAAATCTGAGGCTTCTTTCAACAGTCTCTTGGGGTCCGAAAAGCATAAATCTAAACAAAACAATAAGAGCAAAACAAAATGCTACACATAAAAGCTAAATAAACAAAATGCAGCACATTCAGGTTCTTTTTCTTGAGGTACCGATATGAATCCAACCACCTGCCCCCGGGACTCCTGCTAGTAAAACAACACTTCCTGGCCAGCCAATCGCGGGGCATCTATTATTATTGAGAAAGTGCAACAGGGCCCATCCTTACATGCAGCATAAAGGGTGACTCACTCCACAGAACAGCCCGCGGAGCGGCCGGACAGGAGGTTCACACGAGAGACATTGACTCAGAATTGCCCCGTTTTTGAGGTCCTGCAGCAGAAAGCCGCCCAAATCAATCAACTTTCAGTTTTGCCACTAAGGAATGTTGCTTCTCTTGCAAAATTCAGAGATCTCTTTAAAATAGTAAAACTATCTACTACAGGAAAGATTCCCCTGAATTTTTATGTCTTATTGGTATAAAATCAAATTCTTAAGACTCCAAAATATTGCATTACCTCCAAAGGATTACGTTAAAAAAGATCGCCATAGTAGGAAAAGTCTAGATTGTAAACGGCCCAATATAAAAGCATGGAAAGTGGCCCATCCCCTCTGATTCCTCACCTGCCAGGAAGCTCTCCTCCCTGGGACCCTGGGCTGCGGCTGCTGAAGCCCCCCCTCCCCCAAGCCTTGCGTCTCCTCTGCCCCCCCCCCCGCCCCGCCCCCATCAGCAACACCTCTGCCCCCAGCAACACGTCTGCAGGTGCGGAGAGATGAGATCGACACAATCCATTGCTGCTCAGGAAATCAGCTCACAACCAGAGGGAGAAGGGCCAGACGGCGAAAAAGCAACGGCCAGGGGACGCAGGGGCTGCTCTAGCCGCCTTGGCTGGCACAGAGAATGAAGTGACAGCTATAAATATGTGCAGAGAAGAGTTTGGAATTTGTTCGTAAAATGTTAAATTTTCTCTTGGACATAATTTTTCTCTTTTTTCACAAGAAGGCAGTTGGGATTCCAATGTATGTAAGTGGTTGGCTGAGTGTCTATCGAAGGCCAAGGCCAGCGGGCTTCTCTCCCACCTGGAGTACAGGTACTTAATTTCACACGGATCTTGTTTTCAACCCATGAGGATTCAACACAAAAGGCACAAAATAAATAAAAATATTATTAAATAAACGGAAACTGTGATTTCAAGCTTCATGTGGAGTTGACAGCTCACGTTTGGTTACCTTTTCCAATTTAATTTGACAAGCTTAGTAAATAGCACCCAACTGTGTATGAGGTAGGTCCACATTGTAGAGAAAGCTGGGTCCCCTCCATGTTAGGTCTAAATTTAAGATGCTTTTACAAAAACAAAAATCCATTGAGTCACAGGCAGAAGCGATGGCAGGTGGCACTACCTGAAGAAAGCTTGGAACGTGAGCAAGTAAGATTCGTGCCCAAATCATACTCTCCATCAGCCATGAGTCCATCTCAGATTGGAGGGGGAAATTCAGACGTTAAAATAACCCTGGGAAAGTCTCAAGGCTTCAGAACAGGCCTTTTCGACTGACTGCCACAGAGACGCACAATGGTCTGTTCTTCATTGAGCGATGGCAACAGCCAGGAGGAGGGGGGAGAGAGAGAGAGAGAGAGAGAGAGAGAGAGAGAGAGAGAGAGAGAGAGAGAGAGAGAGAGAGACGGAGAGGGGGAAGAAAGAGGGAAGAGAGGGAGAAAGAGAGAGGCGCATCACTGCAAGTTTCCCTTTGTAACTGGAGAAAAGACAAGTTGAATTACGAGACGGCATCCTGATCTGGCCGGTTGACCCTCACTCTGCCTAACGTTTCTGCACACTCTGAAACATGGATGGGACATCGGATTAAGGCTTAATTTAAAGGGGCCCCCCACCCGGCCTCAAGCGCGCTGGACAGCCTCCGGACACACCATGGCAGGGAGCCGAGGACGAGGACGGGAGCCGCAGAGGCGCGCACAGCAGGTCCTGCGGTTCTACTGCGAAGTTTACAATTCACGCAGCGAGTTCTCGAGAAGCCACGCAGAGGCCAGCGGGCAGAGACCCTCGTTTACACGGGAACCGCCGCCTGACACACAGCACACGGCCCGGGGCCGGCGCAGGGAGGAGCGAGGCGGCGGACGG